TAATTATTTATTAACAGATATCAATGAATACCTGTATCTGAGCGATCTTCATCCTCTGTGATACCACTAGGATCACTCTTCTCATCTTTACGTACTTCATCAACTTTCATCTCATCACCCTCCTGAAAAACACAATGACAACATGAAACTCGTGTCCATTTGTGACAGGGAACTGATCACAATTTCAGCTTAAATATTACTTTTTATACAAGTACATCTTTGTTTATAAAAGTGAAACAATACCTGAGCAGACACATGAGATTTTGGATTCTCTGCTTTGTCAGGAACCTCTTCATCTTCTTCTTCCTCACTATCTAATGCCAGAGGTCTGGAATGCCTGCGTTTCACCATAGTGTCCTCACTGGGATTTTTGGTTGTGTCCTCTTCAACATTATTTAGGGCAGTTTGCTGCACTGATTCTATAAAATAAAGGTTGACCATATTTTGTTACTGTGTAAGATTACTTTAAATGTAAGTAGAATGCAAATTCAGGAGGAGACAGGTGCAAAGGGGCAATTTAAACTTCATACAGTACATTTCTGAATAATATTAAAAAAACTATGGGAGCAAGTTTCCACCTCTGAGTAAAAGATAAAACATGTAATTGTGAAATAAAGGTAAGATTAAGAAATAAAGTTCCATTGTGGAATCACAATCGGAAGATACTATATAAAGTCACAGTCATCTTTTTTTTTATCTTTAAGGTAGTAAGGTAGGATTCCATAGAAAACAGATAATTTTTCCACACTCACATCATGGGTTTTATAAAACCAAGTGAAACAGCATTCCAAACTAACCTTCATCCTCCGAGTGCTCAAGACCAGGAGAAGGGCAGATCCTTTTGACATCACTGGAGGCCTCAGTTAATGGATCCTTCCTCTTTAACTGAGCATAAACACAAATCAAAAATCATAAAAAATGTTTGATCTAAATTTTACGATAGTGCAGGTAATACTGAAGTGCATAAAACATACTAAATCAGCTCTTCTACTGTATATCTTGAAATTTACTGAAGTACCAAGTTTGTACCTTAAAAGATGGTAGTTTGATGCCACCATGCAGACTTAATTTTCCTGTGCCCAATACAGAGCCTTCAACCCCTGCATTCCCCATTCTTAGGCTCTGCTCCATCGCTCTGAGCATTGTATCTTTATTTCCTCCCGATTTAACAGTTGGTGTGGATACCTGGAGGTGCACAACATGATACATATGAAAACAATGTTGAAATGTTAATGGAAATACAGATTGACACTCCTCTCTCCATCACTACAGCTGAAATAAAAAATAAATCCCACCTTAGCCACCTGTTCTTTATCATCCCACCACTGATCAAACACTTTGAAGGCAACAATCTCAATCATCCTGCGATGTATGTCTTTCTTTACGATAGCCCATAGCTCTGAAGCAACAACAGCTACAACTCCATCCACTGTTGCCTTATGGGGTGATTCATTCATAGGGACATACCCCGGTGGAGGTACTGAGGGGTCAAACCTGGGCATGGGGGGTGGAGGCCAAGGTGGTCTGTACCTCAACATTGTAGATGAACACCCAGCGGAAGGGTATGGTGGGCGATGAGTCATGAAATTGAAGGTTGGAGGGAGGAAGGGAGGTGAGAATGAGGTTTGCCCTTGTGTTATTCTAGTAGGAATGGGAAGAGGTACTTGGCTACCCTGCCAGTTGGGTGGCCTACAGACTTGCTGGATCTTTGGAGGAGGGTACAATGAACAAGAAGAACTAGGCAGAGTGTATCCAAGTAACAATGGAGCCATTGGTGGAGGAGGACCCAGTTTTGAGGGTAAATTAGGAGATGGAAGGCAGGGGTAGTGAGCAGGTGGTGATATAGGGATTGGAGGTGGGGGCATTTGAGGAATGGTCGGAGGTAAAGAGCTCCTGTTACTGCAGATCACTGGTATACTACACGGCTGATCTGAAGTATCTTCAACTTCATTTGGGTTGACCTTGGTCTTCTTAGCTGATTGAAGTTCATGGTCTTCTTTTCCCACATCACAGAGAGAAGTGAGGCTCACATCCTCAATACCAGATAAAGTTTCTCTTGGATGAGAGCCATTATTACTCGCAATAGATGATGTTTGGTCACAGTTTAGGACAACATCTGTGGAACGAGAAGGAGAGGGGCTGGGAGCTTTGGGAGAAGGTTGAGGATGATAGTATGGACCATGCTCTTCAGTAGCTGAAGTCTCTGAGTCTGAACTTTCTTGGTTCAGAAGAGGCAGAACTGGACTTCCACCACTAAGAAGCATCTGGATGCGAAAGTCCAGGCTGTCAGGCTTTGATTCCAGACCAGGAGATTCAGATTCAGGAGAAGGACAATGCTCTGTAGGCTCTGAATAATCTTCTGTGGTTTCAGAGGAAGAGTTTGGAGTATATGAGTGATTTTGGTTAACCTCATGGATTGTCTTAAAAGGTACTTGAGTACCACTGAAATTATTTTCTGACTTATTTGCATTTATATGTATATCAAGAAGAATGTGACAAACATCCACTCCAATTGCCTTTTGAGGCAGTATATCTAAATTTGGAAGTGATGGAGGATCTTCTCCAACAGATCTGTGTTTAACACTGAGGCCTTTGATTGAGCCAGTAAAGTTTTGGCCTGTGAGCTGTGATGGTGTGGTTGGAGCATCCTGAAATTTTCTAAAAGGCAGTTGATTGGCTGTAGATCCAGAGCGGTAGTGAGCTCCCCTATATACAGGTCTATGTATATAGTGGTGCTGTGGCCTACGGTTATATGAGTTTTGGTACTTGACCTCAAGAGGTCTGACCTGGTGTCCTCTACGAATTTGGTTGCTAAAGTGAGGATTGCATCCTGGAGTTCTTTGCCTATTTGAAAAGCTGTCATTTTGACAAGGAGCTCCACCTAGCTTCCAAAAGTTTTGCACAGCACCTTGAATAATGCTAGGTTTACTTGAGGCTGGTTGAGTCACATGATCAGGCTGAAGCTGTGAGATGTTTGGGATGGACTGAATAAAAGGGACACTGGAGGCACTGTTTATCAGTGTTGATTCATTTGGGGTCTTCTCACACTGAGATGGTGTGCCTGGTCTACTGTGGGTCAGAGAAGGGGTGCAGGGGGTATCTTGGTATTGAGGGGTCTGCCAGAAGCTACTTGGTGTGTCCTGATGCATGCTGGAGTAGGCGGTATCCATGGATAAAGGAGTAGAACAATCCAACGAAGGGGAGCCATTACATATTGAGGATGATGATGATAATGTGTATGCCAGCTTCTTCAGTGTTTCACACTCCTGAAATGTTGAAAGATATTTACAAGTGAACTAAAACAATAAATCCATAAAAAAAAGATTATGTTAAGCAACGCCTATGGTCTTGTACTCACAGTCAAAGAGTCAGTGAATGAGGAAGGTGACTGGGGTCCCCAGGCCTCTTCTCCAACAGGGAGAGTAAAAGGTGTATATAAACCACTAACAAGCATCTGGAAGTATCGGTTCCTCTTCACACCTAAAACAATGAAGATCATGAATCATGTAATGCATGCAAATACAGTACATGCGGTAATTAAAACAGATTGCATAGACGTGTTCATTAAATATTTTATTTAGAAGATACTGATAAGGTATTATAGAAAAGAAATAGAGGTAGAAATGTACTTACCTTTGGGGTCAAACTCTACATGGATGTTGTTTCCCATCACAGAAGTGTTGTGGAGGTTTTTTACTGCATTATTTGCTGCCTTTACAGATTCAAAAACAACTTTTGCTATTCCTAAATGCTTCTTATTCTTTGGATTGTATAAAACTTTCAAATCTTGAACCTCTCCAAAGTTTTTACACATTTCAGATAGGAATCCATCTCTAATGTTGTCATTAAGCCATGCAAATGTCAGCTCCTTCGGTGCTCCAACATAATTCTCATCAACCTAAAAAAAAAAAAAAGGTTTATTGACATATGGCATTATTTTTGTTGTTGTGTTTTGGATGTGAGAACCCCAAAGGAAATTTTAATTGGCCAGATAGCATACATTAACATCTGTTTGATACTTCTGAGAAACGACTATAAGTTTGATAACACTACAGATGATGTGAGGAAAAATGTTACATGACTTGTTTGGGATCTCAGAGACCTCAGGAATAAAACAATAAAATTTTATTGAATCAATGTTTACATCTTAAAATTGCTGTATTGATTTTTCTAGAATTAGTTTTGTTGGGGTTGGACTGATCCCAAAATCAGACACAATCAACTTTCTTTAAAAAAATACCTTGTATCACAAAGTCAGAGGAACAATGTTAAATTGGATAAGATAGATAGATAGATAGATAGATAGATAGATACACATAATAACAAATATTTTTACACATTTTATTTTCTCAGGGACCCCAAACACAAGAAAGTGAATACCAATATAACATGAGGGTTACATGTTTATTAATTTTTAAACCTTGCCTTTAATTAAGGCATAGCCTACTAACCTTAAGTTTGGGGACTGGGAGATCTGCTTCTTTGAATTTTGTCCAAAAACGTGCAATTCTGGGATCTTGTATAACATCCACAGGGAAACATTCAGGATGCTGGCGGACAACAATTAAGTAAGCTTCATTTGCACAGTACAATGCAGAATACAACTAGACAGTGTAAATAGGATTAGATCTCATTAAGTTAGATAACTAATCCTTATGTAAACATCTATATAAATATTAATAGCTATTTTTTGTTCTGCTTAAATCCTGATGCAGCTACTCACCGGCGCACTGAAGTGCTGTCCATCATAGCGGTACAGTTTCTGACTTCCGCCGTTCAAAACCGGATCAATAATCAGTCTGTAACAACTCCAGTTTGGAGTTGCGTCTTCCAGAGGATCACAACTATCGGTTTTGACTAATGCATCTAAAATTGAGAATCACAGCACACAATGAAAAGTAGCGTTTTCACACGACGGAAGCTCTGAGTCATGAATATAATAAGTAGGTAGGCCTACTACTAACAGATATTTTGATACAGCTTTATTTCTTACCGTTATCTTTCCGTTGACCCTCCTTTTCGACGCTTTCGTACATGATTCGCAGTCATTGTACAATGATAGTAAATTACTCTTTATAAGACGCTGATTAAAACGATATTTCCTGTAAATATCAGGAGGCTGTTGTCAGGAGTACATTGTAGGTCTTCCGTGTCTCCCAAGAGGAGCAGCGCATCACTGCTGCACAACAGGTGGGAGGAACCTGCCGCCACACCCGCGCTGTCATCAGGACAGAGAGAAGACGAAGATCACTGCGGATCAGCAAATGAAATATTATAGATAACCATTTGCTAATATAAAATATCGTTGAAAATATTTATAACGAAATATCTGCTAATATCTGCTGAAAAAACACATGACAACATTATTATTACTATTAGGCTATTATTATTAATATTACTGTATTATTATTATCATCGTCATTATTAATACTATTATTCGCTATTTTCCAAATAAAATGTATAAAATATAATTATCTCTAAACCTGATTTATTTAATAAAGTACAAATAATGCTTGTTTTAACCTACTCTATGACCAAGGTGAGTTGTAACAGTGGGTGGAGTTGGTTGTGAAACTAGGAAACATTTTATTTTAAAACAGAATTTTACGCTTTGGAAATTACTCAACAAATACATAAATGATAGATTAAAAACATAACAGACAAAACATAACCCTAATCATTTTTACAACTGTGGCAAATAGGCTATGTTTTGGCCTTATCTTTATTCTGGGTCCAGTAGAAGTATGGGGCAAGTAATTGTTGCAACCGTCATTGAATGCTCAGACACGAAATTATAACTTTTTCTTTTCTTTGTTTTTTTCTTTCTTTCTTTTTCTTTTTTTTTTTTTACATTTAAGTGAAACTTTTAAGTAAATGTTACTGTATATATCGAACTAAACAAAAGAATCTGCTGATATAGCTTATTTCAATGTAATGTAATTATTACTGCATTATGTTCTGCAACATCTAGACAGACCAGGGACTTATGTGAGGATCCTGTTTGTGGACTTCAGCTCGGCCTTTAACACTATCATCCCAAACCTCCTCCTGCCCAAACTAACTCAGCTCTCCGTGCCCACCTCCGTCTGTCAGTGGATCAACAGCTTCCTGACAGACAGGCAGCAGCTAGTGACTGTCTATTGTAATATACCTGCACATACAATTTTTAATTTCTACATTGTTATTCCTTATTTACTTGTTCTATTTTTTTTTTCTTCTTTTATTATCCGTGTTTTTGTTCCGTCGCTGTCATTCTGTTGCACTGCGGAAGCTTCTGTCATGAAAACAAATTCCTTGTATGTGAAAACATACCTGGCAATAAAGCTCATTCTGATTCTGATGTAATATCCTGGATCTCCCCTATACCAATAAGAATAAAATCTCCTGGGATGGGGAAATGTGGGTACTTTCCAGCACATGGTTAACATAATGAACGCTCCTATAAGATTCAAATTTGTAAGAATTAATAGAATTGTAATATTTTTCTTATTCATGAGCTCATCGTTTCACACGTGTCTGAAACGAGTGAAAAATATTTTACTTAATGATTCATTTATTAATTCTTTGCAACAACTTTCTCAGCTCTTTTTCATTTAATTTTCTACCAGCATGCTGGCACTGCAGGCCTGTCTTTAAAATTCAGGATTGGAACAAACATTGTATGGCTCCCTTTGGCCCATTAAATAAGCTCTAGAGGACGTCTTCACTGCGGAACTGGGATAATATTTTCAGTTGTAATGACAGTCCTGCTGGTGTGTGCACCCGTTGCTGCATGAATGCTTCATCTGAGCCCAAATATTAAACTCTTTGCTCTAAAGAACTACATAGCTGTCATGCAGTGGCCATAGAAGTAAGCGCACGACGAAGGAGTAGAGTTCAAAGTAATATTTAATAATAATCCACAGGAAAATCCACGATCACATAAGCACAAATAATAGCAGACAACCGAACAGGGGAGAAGTAACCAGGGAGAGCTGAAACAGGTGTGGAGTAATTAATCAAAAACCATGGAAACTAATGAGGAACTGAATCAGGAGACAGAAACACATGGAAAACTAAACCAAAACAGAACATAACTGTGACCTATCGCCCCCCTCCCGGAAAGGCGCATCCTCGTGCCGACAAACAGTCCAACAGAGGAGGGAAGGTGGGGGTTCAGGAGGCGGGTGTGGGGCAGGCAATGGGAAAGGGGCATTGTTCATAAGACCAGTGTGGAGTAGATGGAGGGAGGAGCCAGGTGGAGATCCAGAGACCAGCCAGGATAGTGACCCACAGTGGAGTCGACGGTGGGAGGAGCCATGGTGGAGATAGGGCTGACGACACCAGGGGGCCGACTGACGGAGACAAAACCGGTGGAAGAGGAGCCCAGGATGGAGACGGAGAGCTGCAGAGCCCGGGTGACGCCGAGGATCCGGAGGGCCAAGGCGGAGCTGGCGGCTCAGGAGACTGAGGCGGAGGCGGGGATCTGGAATACCACGGCGGAGCCGGAGCGACAGAGGACCAAGGTGGAGCCGGAGGGAGGGAGGAATCCGACAGAGCCAGAGGGATGGAGTCCCGAGGTGGCGGATGGTTGACGACTGGCCAAGGCGGAGCCAGAGGGATGAGGGAGCCCGGTGGAGCCAGTGGGATGACGGGCCACAGTGGAGTTGAGGGAGCTAGGAGCCAAGGCTGAGCCGATGGATCGGAGGGCCGAGGTGGAGTTCGGGTCTTCCGATGCTAGAGGCGGAGACAGGGGATCCTTCAACCCCGTAGCAGGAAGCTGAAGATCCCAAAGCTCATCCGACCCACCGATTTTTGTGTGCTGAGGGTGAGCTAAGGTATATTCAGTGGCCAGCTGACACAGAGCCGATGGACTGGCTGGCTGAGACAGAGGAGGAGGGAGTGGGAAGCTGTGCGGGAACCTTCCCGACACTGGCGATGAGGAGCTGGCTGATGAAGGAGAGCTGGGCGGGACCAACGGAGACAAAGGAGAGCTGGGCAGGATCAGCGGGGAAGGGAGAAGCCAGTATTCATCCTCATTCAAACAGTCTAATAGTCCAGATGTCAGCACCAGCTCACCCTCAGTGGTGGGAGTGTGGGTAGGGTTATAGTCCATTCCCTCGATGTCAACTAGTACTCCCACTGTTAAACACGACGATGCCGGCTCACACACCTGGGGCCCGTTTCAGAAAGGAGGTTAAGTGAAAACTCTGCTTATGTTAACCCTGAAATGAGGGAAACTCTGGGTTTTCCGTTTCAGAATGGGAGGTTTGTCAAACCAGAGAAGGCAGGGTAAGTCAAGCCCATTTCTGAAAGAGAGATAACTTATATTCAGTCAGTTACCGTGGTAACTTGCTCTGTGAACCTAACCTGGTCGGGAGCAGGTTTTCTTCGTTAAACCCAGACTTTCTTTGGGTCTCCTCCCCCTTTTTAAAGCGTAATCGATGTTTAAATACTTAAAGGGGTCATATGATGCGATTTCAATTTTTCCTTTCTCTTTGGAGTGTTACAAGCTCTTGGTGCATAAAGAAGATCTGTAAAGTTGCAAAGACTAAAGTCTCAAATCCAAAGAGATATTCTTTATAAAAGTTAAGAGTCAACCACGCCTACCTAAAACGGCTCGTTCTAACACGCCCCCACATATCTACCTCACTATGTGGGAAGATTTGCATAACGCCGCCCAAATGTTCACGCAAAGAAAGAAGGCGTAACTTTTATTCTCACTGTAGTATTGTTGCCGCTTTCTGCCATGTCCTGAAGACGCTGTGTGCTTCGTTGTGAAAGCGAAACTACTTTGTTTGGTCTTCCAAAAGAGGACACGACTACAAATCAGTGGTTAAGTTGTCACAACACTGTTCCAGAACAGTTTAACTCAAATATCCAGATGCGTGCAGCACATTTTATGGAGGACTGTTTACTGATCCTGGGAGTGCTCCGGCTGGGACATGGCATCAACAGTATGGTGAGTGGCGTAACATTTCCGTCTCACGCTTGAGGTATTCGGCCAATCACAACGCACTGGATAGCTGGCCAATCACAGCACACCTCGCTTTTTCAGACCGATGAGCTTTGTAAAAATCGACGCGTTTCAAAAAGGCAGGGCATAGAAGAGAAACAATAATGTACAGTATGTGGAAAATAATGTGTTTTTTTTTACTTTAAACCGCATAAACACATTTCATTACACCAAATACATAAAATAATGTTCTTTTTAGCAGCATCATATGACCCCTTTAAGTCATTCATTCACACTGCAAAAATGCTTTTCTTACCGAGTATTTCTGTCTTATTTCAAGTACAAATATCTAAAAATTATTAAATCACAATGCATTTTCTATATAAGAAAAATAATATAAGATGTTTAAACAAGTAAAAAAAACAAGTAAAATTATTCACCATGGGGTAAGAAAAATCATCTTAATGTCACGGAATGCTCCTAAACAAGAAGATTCAATTGTAGCATTTATTGAAGAGTCCAAAAACAAACAGGTAAATGAGACACAGCTGAAGGTAATGAGACTTGATAGTCCAGGCAAAGGGTGATGGGACCTGAAGTCCAGAAGAAACAAACAAAAACTACGAAGAGTGCCCTCTGGTGGCTATACATGGGCACACCAACAAGACACTGTGACATTACCTGTGACTGTGACATAAAAATAATTTCTTAGTCTGCATGTTCTAGTGAGTGATATATAGCCTAGATAAGGCTGAGTGACATGGCCCAAAACAATTATCACAATAAAATTTTTCAATATCAGTCGATATCGATAGTAGCTTGAGTATGTAAATTTATGTGCATTATCAAAAACAGTAACATCTGTAAAAATTGTAACAACCTCATTTTTTATATGGTGAAATTTAATTATTCTGACTGCTTGAGTTTTATTCAAATTAACCATTGGTCTTCCGTAGTAGTTAAAGGGATCATATGATGCAATTAAACATTTTTCTTTCTCTTTGGAGTGTTACAAGCTTCGTGCATAGATAAAATCCGTGTGTATTTCGTTGTGAAAGCGAAACTACTTTGTTTGGCCTTCCAAAAGAGGACGATAATCGC